AGTGAGGCGATGCACCTAGGAGTGGTGCACCAGCAGGAGCTTCACCTTCACCACGTGCTCCTTCACGTTCTACTTCACGCCAGTGGCGATCCTCCCCGCCTATCGCATGAGCTTTTCAGCTCCATATTTGGGATGTGCGAGACATCCAAAAACCAGCAGTGAGAAGGAGAGGAGGCTAGGAGGAAGGACACTCGAACTTTGAAGCAAATTGCTTCTAATCTTGAGCTTGATCCTCCTAGATCTCCCTCTATCGAGATGAGGTGAGCTAGTGAGCCCGAGCCGAGGAGCAGCGAGCAGAGCCGATATGATAGAGAGTATGTTGAGTTCATTCAATGACAAGAAGAAAGAAGAGCACCACAAACACCGACACTCTTCCACTTCAGGCTCGTGTGCCTACTCACTCTTAGCCACGTCCTATTACTGCAGACGAGTATGCTACAGATTGGTGGAGTGACCTCACAGGTGGTGGCGGCTTCTACGGGTCTAGTGGCTATGACCCGTCCGGCGCAGGTGGTTCTCGTCCAGCTGGTGTTACACGTTCAGATGATGAAGATGCTAGGAGAGATGATGATGATGATGATGATGCTGAGTGATGCCAGAGATCAGATACAGCTTGCAGCCCCTTTTGTCCTTAGTTTGTCATTGTTGGACCTTTGTGGTGATAGATGACAAAGGGGGAGAGAGACTGATTAAAGCTTCAGGATTTTTGTTTCATTTGCTTATCTTTGTACCTGAAGATATGTACTACAGGCTGTAGTTTTTGTTCATGAGCTTCATTGATGTATCTTGAGTTTGAGATTGCATTGTATCATGTGAGAGATGAGACTCACTTATGCTTTATCTATGGATCTATTGAGATATGATCTTTATTATCTGTGGCTTGTGGACTTGAGAAAATGTGTAATGAGTGCTATGTGTGGCATATATGTGTTGTATTTATTTTTCATAAGATCTATGCATGATAGAATGAAAATATTTGATGTGATTTCTTTATATTTATTCTTGTATGATATATCCTGTCATATGCATCACAATTCTATTTTGTCACACACACATGCACCCCACGAATGCAATGATTTAGGGGGAGTCTCATATATGTTTTAGTATGTGCAATTGACAAGTTGAGGTCATTTTGTGAATTCCAATCACAAGCACATATTAAGGGGGAGCCTCTTATAAATCATTGATCCCAAAAGCTTAAATGTTTATATTCTTTTTTAAGCTTTAATCAAGTTGTCATCAATCACCAAAAAGGGGGAGATTGAAAGTGCATCTAGCCCTTTAGTGGGTTTTGGATGATTGAATGACAACGTGATTAAAGGTCTAACCCGTTTGCTAAGTGTGGACAGGTGAGAGGTTATCTCACAGGTACTTAATAAAAGCCAAAATGATGTGTTGTTGTATAAACAATCTAGTTCAAGCACAAGACAACAATGCAAATGGAATTCATGCAAAGGTTTGTTTATTGTGGGATTTTCATGTACTATGTAAAAGCAAGCTTGTGAGATTTAATTAATGAGACATAAGGGTTTGCATATGGAATGGTCTCATATTTGAAGCTTGCTAAAATTGAAATGAAAAAGATAACAATACAAATGAATGGATGATTCAACACAAGATGTAACTTGATGGCTTGAGATGGTGAAGATAGCAAGGAAAGGCTTTGAGGTACTAAGCAAGGGTGAAGGGCCAGCGACGGCTTGGCGGCCGAAGAACCTAGCTAGGGTGAAGAAGAAAGTACTTGCATTTAGTTGAGGTACTAATCAAGCTACGATGGTCATATTGATGTGAAGGATCAAATCACTATTGGAGTGTTTGAAGGAAGTGACTTGATACATTTGGGATTATTCAAACATGATGAATGGAATCAAGTCACGTGCTCAAAATGGCTATGCTCTAGTGAAAAAGATCAATATCAACATGTTGACGCCCTCACTTGATGAAGATTCGAATACACGGCTTCGGTTCAAAAAGAGCAACTCAAAAGGTTTAAATTCGTTATACTTTTAAATTTGAGTAAATAGGAATGCCGTACTATTAAGAGGGATGCATCATGTTGATAGATAATGTTTCATAAGTGCTCAAGCCAACTCATGTGAGATTTGAGTGTTTGAGAGACAAAAGAGCTAACTGACTTGTTGCTGGTCTGGCCATACCGGACGTGTCCGGTATGCATACCGGACGTGTCCGGTATTTGCCCAGTATCTGTAAAAATGTTGTTCTCGGGTTGGTTCGTCGGGAGTTCCGGCAAGGGTCAGGAGTTCCGATGTCTCACTTTAACTGTTTTGGAGGGTTCACTGTCCTGGTCATACCGGACGTGTCCGGTATTCATACCGGACGTGTCCGGTATGGAGACCAGAGGCCAACGGCTGGTTTTCCAAAGCCTTGAGGGTCGGGAGTTCCAACGTAAGTCGGGAGTTTCGACGGTCGGAAGTTCCCGCATGTGTCGGGAGTTCCGGCATCTCATTTTCTTTAACTCAGTTACATGGTTTTCAAATTTGCTGAGGATCGGGAGTTCCGACGTGAGTCAGGAGTTCCGGCGGTCTGGAGTTCCGGCATTCATCGGGAGTTCTAACGCCTCACAACTTCACTGTAACTTAGTTACCGTTGGGGCAGTGTAAGTCATATCGGACGTGTCCGGTATTGCAACGGCTATAAAACGGCTAGTTTTTCAAGGGGACTATAAATACCCCCAAGCCTCCACCTTTGGAGGCTGCTGATTCTGCTGAGATAGACACACATTTTTGAGCCTTGCCAACTCTCCTAAACCCTCTCTTAGTGAGTGTGTGATCCAAATTGTAAAATCAATTTGTGGGTTAAGAGAGAATTTGAAAAAGAGAGCAAGCCACCACTTGAGCACTTGTGCATATTGTCAATCTCGTGATTCGTATTTGTTACTCTTGGACTCTTCGGTCCTAGACGGTTAGGCGTCGCCGGAGAGCACCCGAGAGATTGTGGTGTGCCTCGGAAAGTTTGTAACGGTCGATTCTGCCGCCTCGGAATCATTTAGTGGAAGGAGGAAAAGGAGTTGGAAAAGACTCCGGCTAGAGTGACCTTCGTGGTACCCTTTAGGGCTGACCTTCGCTGGGTCGCCCGCAGCCCCCTCAACGGAGAGTAGGACTCGAACGAGTCCGAACTTCGGTAAAACAAATATCGTATCTCAATTCGTATTTCATTTGATATTTGTGTTGCTCTAGCTATTCTGCAGGTTCTCTATATATATTGTCATCTCCATTAGGTGCCTGCAGTTTGGTTTGAAGATAGAAATCGAAAGGAGCAAGTTCGGGGCCGATCTGCAGAAATCGTGTATACCGAGCACGTCCGGTATTCATACCGGACACGTCCGGTATTTCCTGCCTGCACTGAAAATATTTATTCTCTGTTCTAACTTGGTGTTGCAGGGTTGTAGCTTCTAGATATATTCTTTATACCTTGTTTACTCTGTGGCTAACTTGTGAGGGGTGGTAGTACTCTTAATTTGGAGTTTCCATTTTGGAAACTTCCCTTTCTAATTGTTTCCGCATTTAAAGGTGTTAATTTTCAGAAACGCCTATTCACCCCCCTCTAGGCGACATCCTAGGTCCTTTCAGCGCCAATGTTGTTCTAGGCCTAGGCCTTCGAACACCGGTTGCCGCTCAAGCGAAATCAAACACGAAAGGTGGCGGAAACAAGACTCGTGCGAAAACAGGAATCGAGATTCTATTGAACTTGTTCCCTTCCTTTACACCCTCTACGGAGGGGCTATTTATACATGCTCGGAAGCTTTTCACTGGAAGAGAATGCCCTTACAACCACCCCGTATTCGGAGAATATTCCCTACTGTCGTGGGCTGGTTCGCCATCCGAGTCCCTGCCTTCCCCAAGATGACTGACTCGCCGGAGACGGAACCTGAAACAAAGAACTGACGAAACATTACCACCTATTCGCCTAAACGAATAGTTTATTCCCGGCTATGTTTCCTAGGCCTCGCCAGGTCGGCCTAGCGCGCCCCTCCTCGCAATAGCGAAAAGGTGCTAACCGGACCGCTGCTGGCGCCCCCTTCATTTCGCCTTGCCGAAATGGTCAGTGAAGACACGATCCCCTACTCTTCCTGCCTCGTCGTTCCTAACATTTCGCTCAAGCAAAAAGACGGGCACGACGGCGGGCCGGCACTGCCAGACTTTAGCGTCCCTTGTTTCGCCTCCACGAGATCCCTTTCGCACTTGCCCTACGTGTCTGGATCGGCGAAATGAACCCCTCGGGGTGCCCATAAGTGGGGCTTGCCCCCAACAACATGGGTCCAATGTCAATGACCTGTGACGGAATCGAGAGTGAAGTTTAGTTACTAACAAGCTTGCCTTTTTATTTTTCCTTCGTGGGGATTTGCTTCTTTCTACTCTGTACTTATAATAGGCTTTCCATCATTTGTCACTTTGGCCTACATGGTTGTGCCATGTATCATTTACAGATCGATTGACTCAGGTGGCATTGGTGACATTAGGAAAATTATTGGCTAGTACACTAACTGGTTTTAAATACACTTCTATATTTCATTTTCATGTTTCTAAATTTTGAGATGATTTCAGGCAATACTCTTATACCATAACATATTAAAATTTTGTCATTGTCTACCTATAGAAAATAATTGTAAGTTGTTAATTGTCTTTGTGCTAACCCAAATCATATTTTATCGGATTTGTGGTTTTGTCTGATGGTTTTTTTATTCTCGGTACCGAAAATTACAGATTGTGGCTACAGAAATTGCAATGAACGAAATTTATAATTTTAGTATAAAATATATACAATAACCGCCACCCAGAAGGAAACTAAATTTCAGGCACGAGTCCCATTTAAAAACGTATGAAGTACAACACTAAACAATAGTAATCACTTAATATCTTCCTATATTCTCATGACACAAATTAAATGCACAACACGGCACAAATTGAACACGTTCATCTGGCAACAACTTAACTAAACACTTGATTTCGCAACAAGAATCTAACAGGAGCGAGATGTCATCAGGTGAACTTCGCCAGTTCCCCAAGGAAGGCGTCCACGTGCTCCTCCCTGACACAGCGCGCCAACACGTTGCCCCCGTCCTTGTTGCATGGCAGGCACGCGACGCAGTGCGGCACCGCCATCCGGTCCAGCGAGCACATCACCCTCGCCGGCCGCCCGCCGCCGAAGTCCACCGCGTCGGCGCCGAGGTTCCGCCAGCTCGTCACGTCGAAGGCGTTGTACCCGAGCGTCACGTCCAGTTGCTCCATGGACAACGACAAACCACCTTCCGGTTCCAGGCCGCGCACGTGGCGGCGGCCTTCGTCTCCGGCGTCGACGTCTTTGTTCTTGCAGAACTGATACGGTATCGGCTGCTTAGCGCGCTTGATCAGCCTCAGCACGTCGTTGATGTCGCCGTTCGCCACCTCCCCGCTCGTCGGCACGACCACCGCCGACGTTATGCAGTTGCCGTAGTAGCCGCGCTTGGCGCCGGCGTGCTTGCGCACGTTCACCGCAAAGATGAGCGGGGCTGGGGTCTCGGGGTCGGACATGACGGCGCGCGTGCGGCACTGCCAGAGAACGGCCATGACCGCCTCGAAGACGGTGCACGGGCCGCCGCCGTCCGCGGCAGCGGCGTGGCGAGCGAATCCGGCTTTGATACGGTTGATGCACCTGGACGGGACGGTGATGTCGAGGTAGGCGAAGTCCCGTGGCTCGAGCGTGACCTGTGCCTTCTCCATGGCGTCGACGAACGGCGGCAGCTCCGGGAGGGAGTCGTCGCCGCAGCTGACCGGGAAGACGGACGGCCGGGCCAGGCCCCGCGCGAGCTCGCCGACGGCCTGCAGGAACTGCGCGAACCCCGTGCCGTCGGCGACGACGTGGTTCCGCGTCACGCCGAGGACGAACCCGCCGCAGGAGAACTCCGTCACCTGCACGAGCAGCAGCGGGTCCGACGGACGGAACCCCTCGGCACCGAGGCCGACGGCGAGCTCCTTCAGCAGCGCGCCGAACGGCGGGTCAAAGAGCTTGACGTCTGCCAGGGAGCAGTTGGCCGACGCGGCCACGAATCCCACGCCCTCGCCGGTGCAAGCGATGCGGAGCTCGGCGCCGCAGTCGTCATCGATCACGGCGCGGCCGGCGACCGGGTAGTAGTGGACCAGGGCGCGGGACAGAGCGCTCCGCACGGTCTCGGCGGGCCTGTGGATCGCATGGTCGAAGATGTGGAACGACGTGACAGGGAAGAAGGCGAGGGCCTTGTCAAACGACGAGAGGTTGATGATGTGCGCGGTCGTCTCTGCCGCCGCCGGCGCTGTCGACGGGCCGACCAGCGCCAGCGATGACTTGGTGACGGTGATGCTCATAGTTGGCATGGGTTCACTCGCTGGTGTGCCCAAGTGCCCAACCGTCGCCCGCCCACCATAAACGCACTGCATTTTGACTTTCTAGGAGCAGAAACCTTTTCTATTTCAGAGGATTCTAGCTAGGAGTGAGACTTTTGGGAGATGAGATGTGCACCTGGGGCGGGGAAGCCTCAACCTACACGATGACATGTGACCTTGTTTTGTTTTTTCCCCACATTTTTCTAATGCGACATTGACTTAGAGGCAAGCAACTTGAGGTCCCATGCAATCTAGTATTTTAAGTCGGCAGCCGGCCATGTGACCTTGTTTTGTTTTTTCCCCACATTTTTCTAATGCGACATTGACTTAGAGGCAAGCAACTTGAGGTCCCATGCAATCTAGTATTTTAAGTCGGCAGCCGGCAGAGACAGGAGGATTGTCACGTTTTGTCCCCTGTCACATTCTGACACCATTTTTCAAGAAAAATCGTCATACTTGATTTCAAGTGTTTAAATTTTTTGCCACGCCTCAGAAAAACTGACAGAATCTTGCCATAGCTTTTCTTTTAAAAAAAATTAATGCCATGATCCTTGGAATTGGAGATTAATCGAACAACCCTTATAGCAATCATCAAAACAGTTCTCAAAGTGGGTCAAATTTACTTATACCCCTTTGGATCCATCCAACTAACAATTAGCTATTTGCTAGCTAATAGTTCACTGGATGGTAGGTAAGACTTTAGCTGAATTTATTAGCTGAGATGATTGCCACCTAACTATTAGTTGTTGGAATCCAAACAAGCGCTTAACCATATAGACGTGGTAAATTATGGCTACCAACTAAACACTACCTAAAAGATAAAGTAAATGTTTAGTTGTGTAGGGGATAGCTTATTTTAGCACTAGTTGAACAAATGCACTTGCTTTGACTTCACTAGTTGAACAAACGTGTACTAGTTGTGTAGGGGATTGCGCGCGCGCGCTCTCTCTCTCTCTCACGTCATAAAGGGACACTTTGACTAAGATCCTTTGACCCCATAAATTTGACAATCAATGACCTTAAAAATAGTTTAGTAAAGAAAATTAATAGCTTTCATTAGTAGTTCAACAATCTCATGCATTTTTAGATATGTAACAATATTCTAATATATATGATAATCTCCTATAAAAAATATGTAAAACCATAGTCAAAGTAGCACTTCAATCAAAGACAATAAAAGTCAACAGTATCTAGTAATTTTGACCCAATGTTCAACATGTCGACAAAGCTGCTTCCAATGTCAACCTGGGTCACTTTAGCCACTTAGGTGGCATGACAAATACAGATACTTGCATATCCTATATGGGATCGTCAAATGAATTTTGTTAGCTTGATAAGTTTGTAAGGTTCTTTTGACTTATGAGATACTCAGAGTTCAGTTTTCTGTGTTGCTGCAGACGCTATATGGGCCACACCAGTCACCACCAGATAACATAAAAAAAAACCCGTTATGCCGAACTCTGAGCATACTGAAGAGTCGGACTATATACTGGTATATATATGTATATCCCCATCGATGCCACATGACGTCTCGAGCATGAATTTTTTTAGTTCCGCCGCAACTAACTGACAAGTACAGATGATTTCGCTAAGCATTAACACACAAAAAAAGCTCAGTGTTAGTGTCATCGCAACAAAATTTTGTACCCAAAATCTGATGGGTAATAGTAATCGGTATTCAGTAAGGCCATTGTCCTACAACTCTTTAGAAACACTATCAGTACATTGCACCAAATCTCTTTGACAAACTGTGAGCAACTCGCTTTAACAAGAAGTGAGATCACTTGGGTCCAGCCTTTCCATAGGAGTCCTTAAGGGTAACAGTTCTGTTGAACACCAGTTCCTCAGGCGTCGAGTCTGAATCCACAGCAAAGTATCCTGCAACATCACCACACGAGGGTGATGAGCAACAAGGACACAGGGTTGGTTTTATCTTCTTTTTTTATCCAAGGTGTAGTTAAATTGGGAAACAAAAAATCCTAGTGACATTACCAAGGCGTTCAAACTGGAATTTGTCCCCCAGCACGGCACTTGCAAGTAAAGGCACAGCATATGCTCCCTTTATCACCTCCTTCGACTGTGGGTTGAGATCACCCAGTCAGTCGTCAAGTTCTGCAGGATTCAGGTGAACAGAATATGAAAGACAACATCCAGAGAAGTCAGCGAGCAGAATTTCTATTTGAACAGGCAACGAGGAATGGTAAAAAATACTATACCTCTGAAAGAAACAATTTCTCAAACAATCTGATTTCAACTTTGAGTGGTTCAACCCCAGGAGAAGGCTCAGCAACCCAATGCAGGACACCCTACACAGATTGTCAGACAACTAAGAATGGAGAAGCTGCAGATATAAATACTTCCAGTATATAGAAGGATTTTAGTGGCCAATGTACCTTTGGTTTTGTAGCCTTTGAAGCGTCATACACGGCTCGGATTTCAACAATACTATCTGCATTGTCTCCATAGATAACTTCCGTACATTTTATTGGGAATGCATGTCTATCCATTCAAAATGGCGACACATGTCAGGCAACTAGGCATGAAGGTGAACCACTTAGATGCTTTCAAATGTATTACCTCAGCATTACTGATTTACCAGGAGCAAGCCCATAGAAATCTTTCGAATCCTTCAGACAGAAATCAGATTGCTCAATGTAGACGATTCTTGAGAATGGAACCTAGGAATGTAGGGACAGACAACACAGACAAAAAAAGGCAATTCAGCAGAATGATGATATTTCATTACCATAAAAACATCCTACCTTCTTTTTTTCTAAAAAAGATATCATATAATGTGTGAGAATTGAAAAGCACCTATAGTGGCTGACGCATCACTGTCAGGCGCATTAGACCACATTTTGGCATCAAGGTTAATAACCATTCCATAATCCAAATTAGTTATAACAACCTATATTCACCAAAACAGTAAATCCCATTAGTGCATCAGTTAAGTGATTAACAAAATAAGATAAAAAGGCAATGATTTGAGAAATGGTTTAGTGCAGAACCTTTAGAGGATGCAAAACAACCAACGCTCGAGGGGAAACTTTGTTAAGTTCTTCTCTAATATGGTATTCAAGGCGTTCGATGCATATCAAGCTATTGTCACTGCAACGAAAGTTAGTTTAGTGGTATCAGTCATAAAAAAAACTGGAGCAGATTTTCCTGATATGTATGGATATGTAAAGAACCACTTTGAGGGACATGGATTTTGTGCTCTAGGTGTTATCTACAGCAATCATAGTGTATTGGGATCTATTCCCAAAAAAAAGTGTATTGGGATCTGTGATCCACCTTGTTTCCCAATTTACGATGGTTAGCTAGATGGACAATTTCTTTTCCCAATTCGTGAAAATGTTTCTTTGCAACATTACTTTCTTACCTTCTTGTTATTCCCATTCCACGAATGAAAGAGTTAATTGCTGCTGATGATACTCCTCTCCTTCGTAGGCCTGCTAGTGTCAACAGTCGAGGATCATCCCACCCATCTACCCACTTGTCTGTGACCAGTCAATTTAGCTGCAAGACGGGGGATGCAAAATCTAACTACGTAATTTTATGAACTACATAAATTGGCATTTCATTCGCAAGTTTCACTGGTACCTTTCTTTTGGACATAACATTGTTTGATATGTTTAGCCTTGAATATTCCCATACATATGGCTGATACTGGCCCAAGGCTACAAGCAGCCAGTAGTATGACGGACGACGTATATCAAATTCTAGTGTGCATAACTGACAATATTCAATAGCTAGATTAGCTGATGACATTATAGGGCCTAAACAACTGAAAAAGAATAATTAAATATTACCGAGTGTGTAATGTTCTCAAGAGAATCTACCAAACAATGGGCATAGTCATAGCTTGGGTAAATGAACCACTTGTCTCCAGCATGTGGATGAGGTGTAAACTGCGTGTGCATTAACAAAGATTAAAATACTACACTAAGAGAAAATATACGTTCAGTTATGTTGGAGCACTTACCTTTATTCTATAAGCTATCAAGTCAGCCATGTTCTTGTTGTTCCTGCTTCATCCAGAGAGTAGCCTTTCCCTCAGCAATCAATCCACATCTCATATCCTTAAATAACTTCAGTGACTCTTCAATGGGTCTATCTCTCCATGGACTATTCATCTTCTTTTCTCTATACTCCTTAATTTCTTCTAGGGTCTGCCAAGCATATACCACTCGGTATAAACATGCTATATAATTCACAGTATTCTAAACACAACTAAATGCGAAATTCAACATGCTACATAATTCTTGTTATTCTAATAAACACAATTAAATGTCAAATTTGCTTTCTTTAGGCCAGAGAAAGCACACCTGGTGATTGACATAGGCTAGTCCCTTCTGTATCAAACAAATAGCAAGTTCATACAAATCTTGGAAATAGTCACTCGTATAGGTAACTTTGTAAGGTTCCCAGCCCATCCATGTGACAATTTCTTGAATATGATCTATGTATTCTTTCTTCTCGGCCTCAGGGTTTGTATCATCAAACCTGTTTAACAGATAGCATTGTTAGAAATCATATACTCATCCTTGTGTATGTGTCGGTTAGATGTGTGTAACTTGCAGGCTAAGATAGATGCAGGCTACATGATGACCGCGCCACGGCACTCACGTCGCACGTTCTGTTAGCTAGCATGCAGGCACGTTCCTGCTGGATTGGATCACAGATCCCTGTTACATTTGTAACCATTCGATTGCTCTATAAATGGAACAAGATCCCAAAGAGGATCAGTGTGTTTGGCAAGTCATTTCAAGCATCATATCAGCATGTTTTAGCAATGTAAAATGCACGAAAAAAATAGTTAAGAGGACTTAAAGTCTGTAAGTGTTTCAGACAGAAAACTAAGGATATCGAGATCAATTAGAATTGCTTCATACCTAAGGTAACAGTGCCCATTACGCTCTTTAGCCAACCCAAAATCAATGAACATAGCCTGTACATGAGAAAGGATGAAAGTATCATTTCCAATTTCAAGAATTCATGTTAGAATAATTATATCTTCAATGTAGAGGATTATCAGAACCTTGGCATGACCAATATGAAGGTATCCATTAGGCTCTGGGGGAAAGCGTGTCATCACTTTTCCACCAGTTGCTTTAAGATGTTTCTCTAAAATGCTCTTTGTGTTGTGTGCTCTCCATATATTTCCATCACTGAAAAATATTTCTGTATGGACCTAACTCACCAAAATAACAAATGTCAAAATTATCTAATTAAGGTATTCCGTAGAATGACAAATATGGTAGGTATTTCATATGGTCAAGGTACCTTGAAGTTTTCCTCTGGCTGAGGAAATATGGAGTAGGGATTTACTTCCTCCTCAGGAGTAGCAACTGCTACTGCAGTCTTTTCTTCCTGTATATCATTGAAAACCATAATGACTGATATGATAATGAAATAGTCCTATATTAAACTTCAAGGAATTTCAGCTAACAAACCTCAACTTTAACAGGCTTCTCCTTCTTTTTCATTGGTTTAGCATTATCTGCTTCTGTTTTTGGACCTAAAATTTCCACAAGCCTTTTCTCAATTTCCTCCTGTAGCATAATCAAATTGTAGTAAGTTAGTGCAAGCCATATGGTGAAGTTCACATGAACAGATATAGGGGGGAAATATAACAACTTCAGCTATTATGTAACCTTGATTGACTTAGCATCACCCCAGGGATGCCTCTTCCTAACCTGTCCACATAAGCTGCCAACTGAAAGAAAAAAATCAGGACCAAATGGAGCTCAGTTCTTACAGTCCCACATTAAAAGGGAAAAAAGGGTGAAAAACAGCAACACTGAAGTAAAGGAAGGTCAAGTGGAACCCAAACCATTTATATGATATCGCTGCTCTACTATGGCTTCCATATTTTCATTTAAAACATCCGTGACTGTTGACTGAATCTCTTCAAACAAAACAACCACCCCTGCAGGAAAAGGAAAATTGTGGATCAGGTGAGCAGAACATTGGAACGGGATGGACCACAGGAGGACATAGTTCATGAAATCCAATAGCTGATAGAGATTTAAAGTATATCCATTTCACTTAATTATCGAAAGTGCATACTAGGTTTGTGAGTTGTGACTGATTCTTGTATACTAATAGCAAATTAGAATGTGCTTGTGGCCCTACATCTTCAAATGTATATAACAGCAGATGTTGCAGTAATGGATAAACCTACATCTGACAAAAGAAAACATACCGACACCACAAGCCTCTTCAAACCTCACTGAATCCAATGAATCAGGACCCAAGGTAGAAAGAAACGACAGAGCAGCATCCAGTTGCACAGAGTTTTTTATCTGGAAATGGCATGGTCAAGTTAAAACTCTTCCCAAGCGCCCAACATCAAATAAACAGAGACTACAGAATATCAGCAAAAAAAGCACCTTTTCTGACAGAATATACTTAATGAGATCAGGGCGGTGGACAAGTGCATTCGTGGGATATTTTGTCGCAACCTAATTCAATTGCACAATGATAAATTCAAGAGCATCAGCCAACTACAATTTAAAAGGCATCACCGAAGCTACATCAGTGATCACTCATTTCGACAATGTGAAATTCTTACGGTGTAAAGGAGATTACCCACAGATTTGTCGCGCCTAGTAACACCAGCCTGCGTCACAAGCAACAGTTAAGACTACGAATTACTCGCCAGCTCAACGCTAGGAGAGATCTCTCTCTCTCATCTCATCGAATCGAAGCGGAAGAAGCGAACGGAGGCGGATGGCGAGTACCTCAGCGATGACGGCGGTGAGGTTGGCGGTGACCTTGCGGTTAGCGAGGGCGTTCTCCGCCGTGCGCTGGTCGAGCCCGATGGAAAGAAACGACTCCAGCTGCGGCGGGGGCGACGCCGCGGCCGCCGACTCCTTGCCTCCGTCGCTGGCAGTCGCCATCTTCCCTGGGTTTGCGGCGCAGCTCCGGAGAGGCGAGCGAGCGAGGTGTCGGAGCGTGGGAGGGGCGAGCGAGACATCGCAAAAATGTCAACCAAAACAAGAAGCTTTTTTTTTTTTCTTTCCCCGTTCGGCTTACCTTAAAGCTTTTCAGCCGGAACAGTATTCTCTCACGGAAATTCGAGCAGAAGCTCTAGGATTTGAGAGCGTGTAGGAGGGAAAAAAGAGCATTTGCAGAGAAGTCGAAGAAGAAGAACATGTATCCTGAAAACAGAACTAGATCTTCACAAATATATTACATTGTTATCATCTACAACCTAGGGGAATCAGACCTAAATAAACCTTGAAAAGCTTAGGCCGAAAGGCGAACTAACTTCTCCACATATTTTAAGTTACATGGCAGCTAACGAAATGGTATTTACCAACTGTTCAAGCTCAACATATGCATCAATCATAGAACATAAACTGGCAGCAATAACAAGGCCTGACAAACGAAAGTTCATCAGGATAGGCTATGCGCCGCTGCAGGCAAAGCTCAATCTGGATTCAGTTATCAAACTATACGGCTCCAGGCTCTTCTCCAGCCAAGAACCTACGGGCCCATGCTTCAAGGTACTCCTTGCCCATGTTCATGAAAAAGCTTCGGTGCACTTCAGACTCTGGCTTACAAAGATACATTCCTACAGATAGCCTATCAGGTTGCGTCAGTGGAATTTCTTTTAGCATGTTCCACAGAGGAGCATTCGGGTCTGATGTTGGTGCTGCCCGAACAGGTTTTGGACCACTGTCACGGATCCCTACTAAGGTGCTGTTCAGTGCATCCATGTTCCTTCCATCACGTGGCAGAGGAGCCTGCGGCTTTGGGCTTAGTTTTGTTTTGCTGATGATCTTCAACTTCTTTGCGCTAGGCTTGAGAGCAGCCATTGTGCTCTCAGCAAAGGACCCAGATGGTGGACTAGTATCAGACATCACTTCACAAGGCACCTCACCACTACTTGCTGCCACCTCATGATGGTTATCTTCACCCTCCAATCCCATATTATCTAAGTCTGCCCCATCTTGGTCCCTTGTATCTGTGCCTGAGGCAATAATGTTCAAGGCAATCTGTGCTTCCAATTCCTCATCAGAATCATCAGTCGTAACAGGGTCTCTCATGCACACTGCATCCAGCTGGCCATCATTGAAGAGATGAAGCAGATGATCGAAGAATGGAATGGGCTTAGCGAGGATAGCACGCTCCGCTATCTGTTAAAGAAACATATTCATTAATATAGTGGAGAAACAATGCAAAAATAATTGTCCTTCCTTATGATACAATACTTACAGGTAAACTAGCCATAGTGGCCGGAGGAAGTATAAGCATTTTGTGTTTATTGTTAAACCTGCTCCCACTCTCATTGGCATACCGAGTCACAATGATCCAGATCTCCTTGAAACGTCTAAAATGGCGATGGACCTGATCAACAGAGTAAGTTGTTCTGAATTTAGCATTTACTGCAGATGTGCACCAAACGTGATGATTCTTCTTGAACTTGGTCTTGGGTGGCATTCCCTTCTTCTTATCAAGGTACCAATCAAGCAAAAACTTTGACATCACCCTGGGCCAATTTGTTGCTTTTGCCCTTTTGACCCTAGCGGTGGCATTGCCTTCTTCTAGGTCCATGTTGTGATCTGCATGAATAAGAAATGGTGAAAGTAAGTAAGAACAACAACAACAACAACAACAAAGCCTGTCAGTCCCAAACAAATTGAGGTAGGCTAGAGTTGAAACCCACCAAGAGCCCCTAGTCACGGTTCATGAAAGTAAGTAAGAAGAATTCAGATTAATTTTGCAGCCACCTTGTCAATAGAAGTAGGTCAACCAAACTTAGCAAAAAGTAGCGGCAACAATTGAAATTCATTAGAAGTACTGCACAGCAGTAGAGGCAGCTAGTAGCGAGATGAGTAAAAATAGTGCATTCAGCATTGTAAACTAGTACATCACAAGGGAAATCATATTTTTTTCCCATATCATTAGGAACAGTCATCCGGTTTAATCTATTACACTGAAACTGTGTTTTTAACAGCAGAAAGTATAAGAAACAGTTGAAATTCCTCTAAAAAAAACAGTTGAAATTATTTTTGATGGTCGCGTTTTTTCTCTTCGCCTTCTGGGCGAGACCCATATCCTATGGGGCGTGTATGAATCTTCTTAAGAGTCTTTTTCTTTTAATTATAAATGTGCAGCTCTCCTGTGCGTTCGAGATAAAAAAGCGTTTATATTCATTACAAATAAATGAGTAATTCACAACAGTAGAGGCAGCTAGCAGCAAAATCATGATTTTTTTCTCCATACGCACAAGGCAATCATCCCCTTTGATCTATCACACTATCGAATGGCGGTTCAGGTCTGCTTGGTCTCTAAGACTGCAACTACTCTAAATCTCTAATTAATTGAGGAGATTCTCAATCCATCTAGATATTTTCTTCAATCTAATTCTGCCACAAAACATGACATTACAATATTCACTAGAATCTTGTGAGGAAAGAAAGACTTCGAGTAGTTAGGTACACATGTTTTCTCAATTGTCATGCAAGATAGTACCATATCAACTGGGGACTTACTTAAATGGCATTGGAAACATCTTTAGGTGGTGTTATATGGGACCTAACTGCATACCTTCATCAGCTAAGTACTAGTTACCTACAACAAATAAAATCTTACAACAAATAAAATTCATCAACTTCATTATATTGCAAACATTACAAGTCTATAACTCATCTCACCCACACTTAAAATATTGCGTTTCATCCTTGAAGAATCTGTAAACCATTTTGCTTTGCTTAGCTTAGGGCATCCTTTAGAAGTTGAACCCGTGTTCAAGCAAGATCAACTTGGTTTGCATGTTCTGTCATTGCTTCAGGCAAAATGACTCCATGCATAGATTTTTTTTAAACACCTAGAGGCCTCGCTTATTTTTTCTGGATTCTTTCCTAGGTTATGTGGACTGCCTAAGATGGAAAATGACAATCAGAAATATACATGAACACAACTAAGAACAGGTAAAAAACTATTCTTTCGAAAATGAACACCATCAATTTGCTGTCCTGTACTAGTTCACATTTCAAAATTCAATAAATGTGGCAGATAATTCGCAGGTAATAGTTAATAAAAAGGCATATAAAAAAGATTGATGGCACAATTCTTGCTACATCTGATTGGTGCATATCACAAAAATGACTCCACCCTTCAAAAGAAATGACTCGAAGTTGCTACAGCAACAAGATATATAAGAAAAATCATTCCTTGCTAGGTCAGTTACAAAATAAGAATTCAGAACTTGTCGGAACACCAGATAATCGTTTAAAACAGAATAAAATATAACTCTACCCTGCAGAGAACAGGACGGTTTGCCTGTTTAAGCTAGCAGCACAAATGAGTCAAAGCAATTGTCTCAGGGAAGGGTAGTGCCAACCAAAAGTCTGTAGGCTATGCTTCAGAGATTAGTAAGCTGAATTACATAAACAAACTGAGCCGTGCAAGCTAGGAGCCTTAACTTGTGCATTACATAAACAAACTGGCCAGACACTCAAGGCACTAACAAACTGGCCAGTCACCCAAGGCACTCATCTTTACTATTGAAAGAAAAAATCGCATTAATTTAAAGCTCGGAGCTGGCGTTGAGGAATTGAAATCACCTGAGCCTTCGGGGCCATCTTGGCCTCCATCCATCGTGCCCAGCGCCGGCCGTCCAGAGATCCAAGAACCGGGAAGATCCCACGGTGCAGCCGGTGACAGATGCGGGAGAGAGGAGTAGACTGGCTGTCGGGCCCCTGAGAGGCAGCGAGCGATGGGAGGAGCGGAGGGAAATCTTGAGGGCGCGGCTGCCGGCGGGTACGGCGGCGAGGTGGGCGCGCGAAGGTGGCCTGCCGTCTGCGGCTGCGAGGCAGCCTGTGAATTGGGGAATTTGGGGAGGATTCTCGGGGAGGGCTCGCCTGACAGGTGGGCCCCCGCAGGGATGACCGCGGCATAAAACGGTGCCTGGTTGGCAAAGGTAGGCAGAATTTTGGTATAGTTAGGCCAAAAAGGACCTGGTTGTTCACGACACTCGTTCAGCAATCAGCATGACTTACCGAACTCTTTAATTCTTTATTCATGTTCAAGAATGATAAAAAAACATTATTCAAGAATGATAATAAAAAAATTATTCAAGAACGATAATAAAGACAACTATTTATATTTGTTAAACTTGATTACCATGTAGAAATGTAGCTTTGAACAAAATAGCAAGCGGTGGACCGCCATTGTTAATAGGAATGTAAGCCAAAATATTAAGAAAAAAAACAATCAGGCAAGAAATAACATGATAGGTAGCAATCAAAGGTGCCTAAAAGATAGGCATGGTAATATTGGCAAAGGGAAACCAACATTACTAGCCTATGTGCCATTCACCCTTAGGCTCCAATTTGGGTGCTTGCTTCCCTTATCGACGACTAAAAAAAAACTCTTTGATTTCTAAAAATAAGTATCGGGCATTGAACCAAAATTCTCTATGTACCAATAACTTTTGGAGACTAATTTTACGCTAATAACACTTTTATTCAAAATCATATGAACATGAGAGCAAGAGGTGTTCATTGTATTTTGTGTTCAATAGGGAATTTGGCATGATATACGAGCTGACGTTAGAATTTCTCCAAACAAGGAAGAAGTAGGAGTATTAAATGTAGAAACAATGATTTAATTCCTTTCGGTATGAAATATTTTCTCTCTATATACTTTGTGTCTCGCTTGTTAAAAATATCTTGCAATCGGGTCATGTACATATATTGTGTCCTTCATGACAAGATCTTGATTAGGGGTAGTAACAAACTGATTCTTCTAGATTACTCTTGTATATGATAGGGTTAGTAGGATAGCTTGTGTACCAACACTACTATATTCGGATCTTTTACAGCCGCGTCGTAAGCCACATTGCAATCCAATTTTGGCCTTGGCAGTAAGCTGTCGACAGTGATGGTCA